TCTTTACTCAAGTAAAAGTAAAGAAGTATGGGCTTTGAAATGTAATTAAGTAAAAAGTACCCACATCTGTTTTAAAGAGTACCTGACCTCCCTTTATATTAATAGAACAATAATGTCATTGTTAGCTAATGAATGTTTCGATGCTGAACAACGGCAACATGACAACGTTTTCATTGGTCCCTCTTCTTTAGAGAAGACCAGGAAATGATGGATACACGGATCGTGTTCAAATCAACAGGCACGCAATGACTCTAAATAATAATGATCACGCCACCAAACACACATTCAGACTAAAGTGTGTTAAAAATGTAAGAAGTAAAAGTAAAAAGTAGTAAAAATGGTAACACTTTACATTAAGGTACACAAATTAACCATCAACTAGTTGTTAATTAACATGCATATTAGCAGTATATTGGTTCTTTATTAGTCATTATAAAACACTTATTAATGCCTTGTTCTACATGACCATATTATACAAGTAATAAGACATTATTTGAGAGTTTTTCCTCAATAACCCTCTAATTAGTGCTTAATATAAAGTGTTACCGTAAAAATAAGTAGTGGAGTAAAGTACTGATACCGGAAAAATGTACTTAAGTACAGTAACAAAGTATTTGTACTCCACTACTTCCCACCTCTGGAAAAATCATATCCTGCCTCTCCCTCTCCGCTGCACTTACACATTCACAAGTGCAAGAGCTGTCAGTATACACATATGCGCAAAACATCACACATACAAACACATTCACACATATCTGTTTTACCCCTTGAATCCAACAAGCAACACCGCCTTTCTCTCAGTCTGATTACTTCTGAAATCAGGGACGTGCACAGACATTTGGAGGGGCTATTGCTCTAAACTAGAAAAAGGGCCTCCCCCCACCCCCCCGAAAACGTAAGAACTTTTTATAAAAAAAGAAAAATGAAAACCAGGGAAATTGTTTGTTTTGCGGTCCATATCTCATTAACATATCTAATGTTAGGAACTATTAAAGACAAAGTGCGGACAATTCTGTTTTAATGTAGTTTGACCATTGTAACGGCTGTGACTTAAATAAACTCACTAATTGATTAAACCAATTCAATACGCATTATTCTTATTCTTATCATTCTTTATGAGCGCAGTAACGGTAAGGTATCTAATTACTTATTTATTTAGTATTCCATAACTTAATAACAGAGATGGTCAAACTTAAGTTGAGACATGGCAGAAATCCTAAAATGAAGCGGGACATTGAACTGTCCTGTTCACCTGTGAGAGGGCGACCAAGAAAAGAGAGCGAGCGGTGAGGGAGTTTACGGAGCAGATGAAAAGACACAGAAAGACAGAAGCACAATAACAAGTATATTTAGGTGTAAATAACCGACGGTGTCAAGAGGAAGTAAAGTCCCCTGGTTTGTCCTCTATACTCTAACTGCCATGAGAAAACTCAAAATCAATTCAAGCATATTTAAAAACGGGGACATTTCCGGGGACAGATTGACCCGAGGATTGGTCCACCAAAGCCAGGCAGGCACATCATAGCCACATGAGGCCGGACCGGACTCGGAGGGCTTTCCTTTGCTCTCCAGCTGTCAGATTGTAAACAAAGTCACGTAGATGACAGCGCTGTCTCTACAATACTAATTGTGGGCTTATCATGTTTATTCGCTCACAACAGAAAAAAAATACTTTCGCTCTCTCCAGAGGGGCAGGTCAGCCAAAAAGTTCAAAAGGGCCGTTGCCCGGGCAACATTAGCCCGTACCTGTGCACGTCCCTGTCTGGAATAGAAGATCTCGGCTTCTTTTGTCTCATTCAGTAATTGGAATGGCCTTTTGAGACTACCACTGCCTTCTGCACGGATAAACCTTTTACTTTTAATTAAAGACAAATCAGCTTGCCCGACTCTCTTGGCACTTTATCTTCCAAGCCTTTCCCTTGATCAATGTCTTATTCTTTATGTTTTTGTTCAACAAACCTGCTACAGAAGTTAATTAAGCTCACACTTTAGCGTGGAGAGGCGGTTTGTGTTGCATTTGCGTTCACTATCTCCGCTTTATTGATAGGGCAGCGACAAAAGAGCTAAAGTTATCTGAGGCACTCAGAGTCTTTACTCGTGGTGAGTGCTGTCGCTGGCTGTTCTCCACTTGGCTTTTACTTAATTTCTTTTTTGTAATGAACATGCTCACACTTCTCCCTAGGATTAGTATTTTCTGGTTGGATGCTAAGATTAAACATCAAGTTTACTCTCGCAGCTTGAGCGTTCAATTCCACCTGTCTCATAGTTGGCTAGTTGGCAAATTATTTATCGTTTTTGCAGACGGCTGAATACAATTAGAATTTCCTAAACACTTCCTTTCAGGTGTGGAATAACACTACAGCAGTATTTCACTGTTGAGCGAAGCCCATGCAGTGCAATTAGTTTTCTTTTCAACTGAACAGACAATTCTTCAGAAATTGCCTTCAAATTAGCTGAACATCAAAAATGATAAACCCTTCCAAAGCAGGAGAATGAGACAACAAAAGTGGATCATTTTCATCTCAGAAACTTGAAAATGCATCAAAAATATCAAGTGTCATACTTTTTCTCAAATCGGGAGAGAACATGATATCCACACAGGAATATGACTTTCATCTGACTCCTCTGATCTGTGCAGAAGAGAACAAGTTCCCCCTCAAACTAAATCTGAATATGTCTTTTTCTTTGAATCAACAGCACCTCCAGTGGCAACAGCTCTGCAAAAAGGTTATGAGTGTGTGTAAGGAAACCTGTAAAATAACACATGGCGCCTTGTAACACGATCAGGCAGGCAACCTTTTCGGAAACCTCGGCTTCCCTGATTATTTCAGCGTGACACGAGTTACAATTAAAATGCTCCCTGTGAGCTCAAGCCAACCGTTTGCACCGATGACAAACCCTTGCCTCCCTGGGGAAGCTTAAAGGGCCCGGAGGGATGTCACCCACTGATATGAGTGGGCTCCTGCCATATGTGAGCACACAGGCTGTCTTATATAATCCACAACACCAGTGGCCCCCTTTAGCGTAAGCACTTCAGCTGATGCAAGTAGATGTGTGTAAACCCCTCTTTATCAAAACAAGATGATGCAATTCACGAGATGTTTTGGGGCTTAATAACGCATTGAAATGCTTTGATTTAAGGTGTCCTGCGGAGTTCTTTATTTTCAACAACAACAGGGTTTGGTTTATATTCAACTCTTCTCACCTCGATATTAAATGTGTCCTTTAGGCCTTGAACATGTTGAATGCATTTCCCACCTTATAAAAAGCCCTTTTAAAACTTAAGACACCTGTTTACATGTTTTCCTACTCTTTCAAAGCGGCATGTCTACATTTTACTGTGAACCTGTAACAAGTTAACTATACACATGTTAGGAATGTGCATCTTTCTGGTGGACAAATTGAAGACTCACTAATGGAACCATAACACAAAAACACTTGTGGTAAAAATGAAATTAATAAAAAACAATGTTGGATGTTTTTGGCCACTTGGGGGTACCAAAACAAT